TCCTTTTGTTTGGGCCTCATCCAAGAGCTCTTTACCATAATCTCAGAATAAACCAAGAGTCATCATGGTCTAAGCTGTGTGCGCCCACACACACATGCATGCATCCCCCTAATTAACAGAAGCATTCTTTCTCTCTCCCCTGCCTCCGCCCCCTCCCCACACACATATGGACACATGTAGAGCTACTTCTTAAAACTTGTCAATTGTATTTGAAAGCTTGCAGGACTGAAGCCAATGACAAGAATTGTTCCCCAAATCTGAACCCATTTATTCAGGAATTTTTGCTGGCAACAATAGAAAGACCTGTTGTTTGTAGAGGAGACTCTATTTCCAGTATTTAGCAGAGTCCACAGATGTCTCTTCAAAGATATATTTGTGAATGCTGTATCATATGTGTGGCATACAGAGAGGGTCTTTCTCTTTTTTTATGGACCCTTTTCCAGGGACAGGTGCCTCCTTTTTCTGACTGTACTTCTTCAAACACAGATTTGTTTGTTCTTTTGGCAGTCCAAGGTACTTTGAATATTTTTTGCCAAGAGCATAATTCAAATGCTTTGATTCTTTTCTGGTCTTTCTTATTCATTGTCCAACTTCACAAGTATATGAGGCTAATGAAAATACCATGGCTTAGGTGATGCATACCACAGTCCTCAAATTCACGTCTTTGCTCTCAAACACTTTAAAGAGGGCTTTTGCAGCTGATTTGCCTAATGCAATATGCTGCTTGAGTTCTTTTTTTTTTTTTCTTAAATGTTTTATTGTGAATTATGTGATAGTTTACATGGGAGAACATTAGTTTTACTTTCATCCTATCGTATATCGTCTCATTGCCATGGTTACAATCCCCTCCATGCAATCCTTCCCCGTACCCCCCAGGTCTTCAGCACACAGTCACTCTCCCTCTCTGGATCTAAAGTCTCCAGCTGCTCTATCACTTCACGTCATCATCTCTGCCTCTATTTCAGGCATCACTGCTTCTCTGGGTAGGGTCCCGCTCTCTGCTCTTCTCCCTTGATGGTCCTAGGGACCTCCGCTCCTGGACTGAAAAGTTAATCACTCCCCTCCTTGCTATAAAACGTCTACCTTTACATTTCCGACCCTCACAAACAGTCCTGATAACAATTATTCACTATTGTAGCACAAGAGACCCGTCTGCATTTCATTGCATCAGCCCTGCTTAGTCAGATTGAATAATACTCACTGGAGATTCTACATTCCTCCAGGCCCTCTGGATCTAGGTTCCCTCTTGAAAGCTTGTAAGCTAGTCACTTCTTGCCTTTGTAGGCCACCTCCCCCATTTTGGGTAGCCAATGTCCAAGTTGCCCATCCCTGTCTACTCTGTGTGTGGAGGGGGTGGGAATGATTCTTGCTGTAAGGACTTGTTCCCGCTTTTGAGCTACTGCTTCCATAGGTGTAGGTCAACTGCTTGATTTCTTGACTGTTGCTTCCATGAATTTTGGTAGTAGATTCAAACAAAATGAAGTTTTTGACAACTTCAATCTTTACTCCATTTATTATGATGTGATTTACTGATCCAGTGGTGAGTATTTTTTGTGTTCTTTACATTGAGGTGTGGTCTGTGATCTTCATCAGTAAGTATTTTAAGTCCTCTTCACTTTCCGCAAACAAGGTTGTGTCATCTGTATATTGCAGATTGTTAATGACTCTTCCTCCAATCCTGATGCCACATTCTTCTTCATATAATATAATTTCTGTGATTAGTTACTCAGTATACAGAGTGAATAAGTATGGTGAAAGAATATAACGCTGACAACAGCCTTCCCGATTTTAAACCGTTTGGTATTCCCTTGTTCTGTTCGGACAACTGTCTTCTGGTCTATGTACAGGTTCCTCACGAGTCTTCTGTAATACCCATTCTTCACAATGTTATTCATAGCTAGTTATAATCCACATAGTTGATAGCCTTTGCATAGTCAATAAAGCATAAGTAAACAATATCTTTCTGCTTTCAGCCAAGATCCATCTCATGTTAGAAATGATAGCCCTTCTTCTACATCCTCTTCTAAATCTGGCTTGAGTATCAGGCGTGGTGGTGAGTATGTGCCATGGGGTCGGTTCCGACTCATAGAGACCCTGTATAGGGTTTCCGAGGCTGTAAATCTTTACGGGAGCAGAAAGCCTCATCTTTCTCCCATGGAACAGCTGATAGTTTTGAATTGCTGACCTTAAGGTTCACAGCCCAATTCGTAACCACTATGCTATCAGAGCTCCACTGTTAATGTACTGTTGCAGTCATTTCAAAATATCTTCAGCAAAATTTTACTGGCGTATAATACTAATGGGAGTCCTGTGTGTGGCACTGTGGGTTAATATGCTGGACTGCAAAACTAGTTTAAACTGCAAGGTCGGTGGTTCAAGCTCACCAGTTGCTCCTCAGAAACCCTATAAAGGGTCGCTATGGATTGGAACTGACTCAATGGCACTTCACAAAAGTAACAACATAATATTAATGATAATATTTAATGATTTCCATTTTCTGTTGGGACACTTCTCTTTGGAATGGTCACAAATATGGATCTCTTCCAATCAGTTGGCCAGGTAACTGTCTTCTAAATTTCTTGCCAGAGTTGAGTGAGTGCCTCCAGTGCAAGATTAGTTTATTGAAAATTTACTATTTGTGTTCCATTAATTTCTGGAGCCTTTTTCCTTGCCAGTGTCTTCAGTGCACCTTGGACTTCTTCCTTCAGTACCCTTGGCTCTTGATCATATGCTATCTCTTAAAATGGTTGCATACTGACCATTCCTTTATGGTGCAGTGACTCTGTGTATTCTTTCCATCTTCTTTTGATACTTTCTGTATCATTCATATTTTGCCTATAGAACCTTTCAATATTGAAAGTTGAAACTTGAAGTTTTTCTTTAGTTCTTTCAGCTTGAGAAATGCTGAGCATGTTCTTTCCATTTGTTTTTTTAACTCAACGTCTTTGCACATTTCATTATAATATTTTACTTTGTCTTCTCAAGTTGACCTTTGAAATTTTCTGTTCAGTTCTTTTACCACCTCATTTCTTCCATTTGCTTTAGCACCTGTTCACTGGAAAATAAATTTCAGAGTCTCTTCTGGCATCCCTTTTGGTGTTTTCTTTCTTAGTTGTCTTATTAATGACTTTATTCTTTCTTCTTGGATGATATTCTTGATGTCATTCCACAATTCTTCTGTGTCTAATTCATCAAATCTGTTCTTGAGATGGTATCTAAATTCAGCTGGGATATGTTCAAGATCATGTTTTGGCTCTCATAGGCTTGGTTTAATTTTTCCTCAGCTTCAGTCTGAATTTGCACATGAGCAATTATTGGTCTGTTTCACAGTCTGTCTCTGGCATGGTTTTGACTGATGATATTGAACTTTTCCACCATCTCTTCCCACAGATGTAGTCAGTTAAATTCCTATGTATTCCATCTGGTGAGGTCCATGTGTATAAAACGTTATTTGTTTACAAATGGTATTTGCAATGAACAAATCATTGTCTTGCAAAATTCTATCATGTGCTGTCCAGCATCATTTCTATCACCAAGACCATATTTTCCAACTACTGGTCCTTCCTCTTTGTTTCCAACCTTTGCATTCCAATCAAGATTATTAATACAACTTGATTGCAAGTTTGATCAATTTCACACAGAGCTCTTTAATTTCATCTTCACTGGCTTTAGTAGTTGGTGTGTAAAATTGAATAATAGTGATATTAGCTGGACTTATGGATAATATCTTATCACAGACAGCATTGTACTTCAAGACAGATCTTGAAATATTCTTTTTGATGATGAATGTGATGCCATTCCTCTTCAGTTTGTCATTCCTGGCTTAGTAAACCATGTGATTGTCTGATTCAACGTGACCAATACCAGTCCATTTTAGCTCACTAATGCCTAGGACTCCTCATATGGCACTGTAGGATAAGCACTGGACTGCTAACCACAAGATCAGTGGTTCAAACCCACCAACTGCTCCTTGGACGTCCAATAATGCCTAGGATATCAATCTTTATGCTATCCATTTCATTTTTGGCACCTTCCAATTTTCCTGGATTCATATTTTGTACATTCCAGGTTCTGATTATTAATGGATATTTGCAGCAGGTTCTTCTTATTTTGAGTTATTCCCTATCAACTTATGAAGGTCCTGAAAGCTTTACTCCATTTGCATTATCATGGTCAACTCTATTTTGAGGAGGCAGCTATTCCCTAGACATATTTTGAGTGCCTTCTAACCGGAGTGGCTTATCTTCTAGCACTATATCTGACAGCGTTCTGCTGCTGTTCCTAAGGTTTTCAGTGGCCTGATGCTGTAGGATAAGCACTGGAGTGTGAAACACGAGGTCGGTGGTTCAATTCCAGTAGCTGCTTCTCGGAAACCCTGCTCAGGGTTGCTATGAGTCCGAATTAACTCATAGTACCTCTATGCGTTAGAAGTAGTCCACCTCTCCTTCTTTCTAGTCTTCTTTAGTTTGGAAGCTCGGCTGAAATCTGCCCACCGTGGGTGACCCTGCTGGTATTTAAAATACTAGTGGCATAGCTTCTAGCATCACAGGAAGTCGCGAGCCCTACAGTGTGACAAACTAACAGGTGAGCGGTAAGATAGCCCCGATTACTGTTGATATTTTCAAAAAGTTCAAAATGTGGTTACAAGTTATCTGTAATCCAGATACAGCATTAAGCCTCTTTCTCTTTAACACACAGCCTCTGGGACACAAGGAATCTCTCTCTGCAGTTATAAAATAAGTTTTTGTGGGTCAATTCTATTTCTCATCTGAAAGGAAAACTCCTGCACCTGAACAAGCCTCTCTTGGTAACAGAAGCCAAAGGCAATGTTTGGATCTATCATTAGATTAGAACCTGTTGAAATTTCTGAAAACAAAACTCTCACTTGTTCAAGCAAAGGGATTATTCCAACAGTGTCTGACCCACAGTAGGGGCTGCAGCTCTAGTTACAGAATGAAGGAATGAAGAGGTGACTTGTGTCGTTTGTGTTCTGACTTCAGAGGCACCAGAAACAGTTCAGCCAGGCGCCACAGCCCAGCCTGCCAGCTCACATATTAAACAGCAGCTGCGCAGTGAAGACTGTTACCACGGCAAGCTGAGCAGGAAGGCAGCAGAGAGCCTCCTGGTCAAAGATGGGGACTTTTTGGTTCGAGAGAGTGCGACATCCCCTGGCCAATATGTGTTGAGTGGACTACAAGGAGGCCAGGCAAAACATCTTCTCCTGGTGGATCCTGAAGGCAAGGTATCCTTGACCTCTAGCTACAGGCTGCATAGAAGGTTGTTCCATTAGGGACACTCTGACTGACTGGTTTAAAACCTGGTATTGAAGAGTGTTTAAGGCTAGTGGGTTACTTAAAATTTTTTTTTTAATGGTAAAGCAAGCAAGACTTAATGTATATGGGATGTACAGGGGACTGAGGAGCCGTGAGTCATCCAAAGAATGCCTCCTTAAGGGCGTACTTTTCCTTGAAGTTCCCACCTGGGGCAGGAAGTACTAAGTAGAGGCTAGTGGAGAGGTTTGAGTAAGAAAATATCCTGGGTATCAAGTAGGGGACAGCCCCTTTGTGTCCTGTTCAGTCTAATTCTACAAACCAAATGTATGCCTACTACATGGACGTACAGGGATCCAGGTGACTGTTGCTCAGTATTACATAATTGTCTTTGCTGTGAGCATGCTTATCAATTCATAAAACAGATCCTTAAATAGTTATAATGTAAGGCTGAATGAGGAGCCCTAGTGGCCCGTTGGGTTAAGTGATGGGCTACTAACTGTTTAACCCCACCAGCTGCTCTGAGAGAGAAAGATGAGGCAATGTGCTTCCATAAATATTTACAGCCTCAGAAACCCTAAGGAGTAGTGTCCTCTAGGGTTACTATGAGGCAGAATCTACTCGACCGTAGTGGGTTTAAGGCAGTACGTTTTAGGAGAGGTTCAACCACAGCGCTATGGCATTTCTCAGGATGGAGAGGTTACTCAGGTGGAGACAAACTGGAAAGGCTTATTTCTGGGTCTAGCAGGTCAATAGAGCTTTGATAAAGTATAGAATTTCAAATTTCAATATTGCCATTTAGAGCCTAGGAAACCCCATGAGCAGGCATAGCAGTATGAAAGTATTAAGCCAACAGAAGACTAGGCTATATGACTGGAGCACCGGACATCTGTAGTGAGAAACTGATCCTAAGAACATAGGTTGGAACCGTCATGTGAAATGGGAATATGAGTATAGACAGAAATGTCTGATTTGCCAAGAGTGGGAAAGCATTGGTAATGTTGAGGGGGATGGTGATGTACTCAAAGCCTTTAAGAGAAAGGTCACAGCCACGAAGTGTCTGCAGGGCAAGTTGGGTCCTGTACAGCTGGGCGAGGGGTGGAGCCAGCGTAGGTGCACTGGGCTGTGATGAACTGGAGAATGCAAGTCCTGTCTGAGGGGACAGTCACCACCCATCTCCAGTCAACTGTTGCCATGTAGAATTGGAGTCCTGGTGTAGTGCTGGAGGAGGAGCATCAGTCTGCTAACTACAAGGCTCATGGTTCAAACCCACCAGCCATTGCTTGGAAACCCTATATACAGTTGCTATGAGTTGGAACCAACTCGACAACACTTAACAACAACAGAGTTGAGGCACATTGGGGCTAGGTTTTTTTTCCAAAGAAGTCACAAAACTAGAGTCTTATATGAGTTTGTCCTGGTTTTAATTCAGAACACTTAAAAAGCACTTTATGGATTGAGAGTAAGCTGTTTCACCAGAGTGGCCAGTTAACAATCTCTGTACTAGGAAGATTAATTTGTGTGCAGGTCTAATTGGAGAAAAGGAGTAGCAAGGGATAGAGAAAGCAATTAGGAACTTCTAGGAGAAGGACATCATGTTTGGCAAGGTAGAGGGTCAAAGAAAAAGAGGAAGACCCACAGCGAGATGAATTGGCAAAATGGCAGCATCAATGGGCTCAAAAGTGGCAACAATTGTGAGGTTGGCCCAGAATCAGGCAGTGGTTCATTGTGTTGTGCATAGGGTTGCTATGAGTCGGTATTGACTCGATGGCACCTAACAACAACAACAAGGTAAAAATAGGAGTTCTGCTGTGGTGCTGTGGCTTAATGCACTGGACTGCAAGTTTGGGGGTTCAAGCACACTAGTCAGAACAGACACCCCAGCACTTAACAACTACAACAACAGGTAAAAATAGAGGAGTCCTGGTGTGATGCTGTAGAATAGGTATTGGGCTGCTAACTACAAGGTTGGTGGTTCAAATACCAGTTGCCCCTCAGAAACCCTACATAGGGTCGCTATGAATCCAATTGACTTGATGGCACTTAACAACAATAACAACAACAACAAAAGGTAAAAATAGAGAAGGTCTGAACCTAGATGGAGGCCGGAAAAATACAGACAGAGGGGTAGGCAGAGCAAGTTGGAGTTAAGAACACAGGCTGGCAGTACCGTCAGATGATGTGATGTGTTTTAAGCATGAGATGGAAGAGATAAAAGCATCACAGATGGTTTAAAACCATTTAAGAGTAAATTGGAGATATGGTGCCCTTTACCTCTAAATACATGCTTTGAGTGACTGTTGTTGTTGTTGTTGTTGTTGTGAAGTACTGTCGAGTCGATTCCGACCCATAGCGACCCTGTATAGAGTTTCCTAGGAGCAGCTGGTGAGCTTGAACACACCAACCTTGCAGTTCAAATGGCTTTGCAGTCTGGTGCATTAATCCACAGCGCCACACCAGGACCCCCCTGAGTGATTGTTAGGAAAGGGATATTCTTTTACCTAGTCATAACATGATCATTGAAAACATTAATACAGTACCATATTCTAATTCATAGTCCATATTCAAATTTTGCCAGTTCTAATAAGAGTATGTATTGGTTAATATACTGAAAATGTATCTGCAAGTAGAAGTTAAAGAAACCCTTGGAGGGGAATAGTAGCTCATAGCATTACATGACAGTCTGCTCCCTGACTGCATCCCTAGCAGGTGCTAAGTGAGACTGATGAACCAATAGAGTCATGTCTGTGGGGTCCCATGTCTTCTGCCCATACACAGGATAAGGATGCAGTCATACTTGGGAGAAAAGTCTATAGGAGAAGACGTGGGCTTAGGGAAGCCAAGGTATTCTGGAATGTAGATGTTCTACACAACAAGAAGGCCTACACAACAAAACCTTGCGAATGATCTATAGTGAAGTCTACAGGAAGGAGACCAGAATTCCCATTAGAAAGGTCTGAGAAGGTGTCTTGGAAGAGACAGGATTTATGTTGAGTCTCTAAGGAGAGGCAGAGTACTCAAGAAGCTCATGCTCTACAGAGACAGAGAGTTATGGAAGCACTTGTTTTGATGAAATATAATTGTAACCCTGGGATTCAGGCTTGTATATAAACCAGTTCAAGTATTTGTAAACATAGTGACCTGATGGAAGATATCAAACAATAGTATAACAGAGAGACCGATTATAAACTTGACTTGGATAACAAGTATTTGCCATTTTCTTAGCTATAGACGGTTACTTTGAAAAAGAGAATGAGAAAATTGCTTAACAAGGGGACACAGTGCTGAAAAATACGTTTTCTTTGCTTTATTTAGCAAAATATGAACTTCAGTAATATTTCTAATTTTCCCCCCCCCTTTTTTTTTTCCATCTTTCAAGAGAACTGTTATTATTTAACCTTTAATACATTTGTATTTTCTTTTCAAGGTGAGGACCAAGGACCATGTGTTTGATAATGTTGGCCACCTTATCAGATATCACATGGATAACAGTTTGCCAATTATCTCTTCTGGAAGTGAAGTAAGCCTTAAGCAACCAGTGAGAAAAGAGAATAATCCAGGACTTCTGCATTCCAACAAATGACAATGTTGAAATGCCATCAAACGGATGTTTCAAGAAACTCCATTTTGTGTCAGGTTACAAAGAAAATTCAAACTCCAATTTGTCTTAGGAGACCAAGCAAAGTTGGATCTTGTATCTAGATAAAATAGAACGCTAACTGCGCCCTAGCATCTTTTACAAAACAAAGACCAGAAAACGGGAAGCAGACTGGCCCATTTGGAAAAAAAATGATACATACGCACAGATGTCACTTTTTAAGGTCACACTGCATTGATAACAAGTTAAAAGCACAATTAAACCTTCACATGGTAGAGACAACTTGAATGAACTGCTGGCCAGTGGTATGTGCCTTTCAACTTGATACTTGGGGGCATTTTCATATTGGGGAGATTCATTCTAAGTGTCTTCATGTTCTATAACTATAGAACCATTTGCCAAAAAAAAAAAAAAAAGAAAAAAAGAAAAACAGGTTTTCCTTGCTACAAAAAATATTAAGCAAATTGCCTGAAAACTACTGACTTTATTACATTATTTTTCTGTTTAGAAGCACTTTCCCAGCAACATCAAAAAAATTTGACACTGAATACAGACTGGGTCTATGCCAGTGGAATTGAATCAAAAGTCACTGAAGGTGTTGGTCTGTTTCATTGGTCTGTCTTATTTGCTGGGTAAAGGGTTGGGGCCCAAATTCTCTGGCCTGGTATTTCTGGTATGAAGCTGAAGAGGTCAAATTTATCAGTCATTTCTGATTTCATCATATTTCTCCTCCTCCTCTTCTCCAAAACAACTTCATGACAACATGGACTTAAAAGTTGGGAAACAAATCCAGTGTTCTTCATACTGAATATCCAGATTGGCTCCATTCTTATTTGGAGTACTGAATTTATTTGAAACTATAGATAAGCATGTTCTTGACCAACTGCCCCTGACTCCTAGACCCTCACCTACATGTATCCTCAGTATTGCTTCTAGAAATGATCAGACAAAATGCAGAAGGAAGGAAACACACTGAATGAAACAGTTGGAAAGACCCAACCATAAACTTAGAGCATAGTTAAGCATTGTCTAGAGGAAAGCAATGGACTGGGGCTCAATGGCCTTGGGCTCTGAGTCTTATTAATGTGACTCTGAGTAAATTGTTAAATTTTCTGGACTCCAATTTTTTTATCTACAAAATTATGGAGCAGGCAAAGTAAATTTAGAGGGGCATTCCAGCTCTTACATACTATGAGCTTTAAAGGGCAAGTTTTGTTAGAGAATGATGCTAATGCCCAGTCTGAATAGTTAAGATGAAATCCAGCTGTTTGGTGTGTATTTGTAGTGACAGGTTGAATGGCACACTGAGATCAAAATTCAGAAAGTTTAGATCTCAATCCTTTTAGTCTAAAACACTGAAGTTTTGGAATAACATAGATATGATAGTTGTTGTTGTTATGTGCCCTCAAGTCAGTTCCTACCCATAGCGACCCTGTATAGGGTTTCCAAGGAGCAGCTGGATGGCTTGAATTGTCAAACTTGCAGTTCAAATGGATTTGTAGTCTGGTGCATTAACCCACAGCATCACACTAGGACTCCAATGGATATAGTACAGGTGGATTTTGTTGATTTGTCTGGCAGACTACTGCTTCAGTCCAGTACCTACCTGTTACGGCCATTACTATAGTGTGTGTTTTTATCCTCAGTTCCCCAGACAATTGCCTTTTTTGTTGTTGTTGTTGTTAGGTGCCATCGAGTCAGTATCAACTCATAGCGACCTTATGCACAGCAGAATGAAATACTGCCTGATCCTGGGCCAACCTCGCTACTGTTGCCATGCTTGAGTCCATCGATGCTGCCACTTGGCCAATCCATCTCGTTGGGTGTTTTCCTCTTTCTCTGACCCTCTACCTTTATTTGGCTATGTAGGTAAAACTTAATGGTCATTGTTGTTGTTAAGTGCCATCGAGTTGGTTCCGACTTATAGGGTTTCCAAGGAAAAGCCAGTGGGTTTGTACTGCTGACCTTGTGGTTCGAAGTCCAGTGCTGATCCTACAGCGCCACACCAGGAGTTCATATAAGCTTCATAGTTGTGATATATTTACTAAGTTTGAAATAAAATATGGAAAATGTCTTTTGGATAGAAATCAAGCACAATTGAACTCTACTATTTGAATGTGAAGATTTATTATTTCATTTTACTTTTACTGCTATTGCTTTCTTAGATAGACCTGTTTCCTCTTATACAACTAGGAAATCATGTATTTTTCATCAGTTTGTTGAATATACCTTAGTTCTCGATAATTTGTTCTAATAAAGGAAGCCGCATGGGTATAAATAATAGAAAACTGTAAGAAATCCAACCATCATGATCAGAGAGAACAGGCTGAGCAGTGTTAACTGGGTCACAAGAAAGAAGAGTTTCTGAAGAAAACAGATGCAAAGAGTCTAAATGATGGGGCCAGTACCCATGGATTATCAGTATTTGACTGTAGTGGGTATAATAGTTAGATGAGCAAATACTTGTTACAAATACTACAGATACAATGAAAACAAAACCTCACAGAAGTAGAAATGTTTGATTGCATGCTACTTTTCTCTCACATTCTTACCTTCATTTGTTTTAAAGTGGGAATCCATTTGCCTATAAATAACTGTAAATGATTTTATAATAAATAAATGAGTATTGCTTTGTGACAATAGACAGTATATGTCTGATGTTTGGGATTTGGGAAGTTTCTAATGCATAGGGTGGATCCAGGATCTTGGCAGGAAACAGATGGCTCTCTCAAATTGGGTAATTTGAGGAGAGTTTGATCAAAGGGATTACTTACAAAGTTGTAAACAGAGTACAGCGGAACCACTGGGGAGTGCAGTGCCCTGGGGCCAACGAAGGGGCCAGGAGAGGGAGCCCTTTCAGAATGTGGAGAGAGCTGTTTGGAAGAAACACTTTTTAGGAGCTGTAGGCTACAGTGAGGATGACATCAGATGGGCATAAACTAGCTGGCTCTTTTCTACTGCTTTCTTTGATCTCCTGCCAGGATTTCCCATTAGTCTAAGTGACTTGAAGCCAGAGAGTAAGGGAGTTCCTTCATGCTGTGCCAAAGGTGAACCTCCCAGGACCCTCCCTCCCTTCACTTGAGCTGAGTCATGATTTTGGCAGTGGCGGTGAAGATCAATGTTTCCTGAGGTCTGAAGCCGATTGGAAAAGAGTGGAGAGGGGATCTGGAAAAACAAACCAAGCACATCCAGTGCAAAGGATTTTGAGGGGTTCAAGCTTCTAAAAGCGTCAGAGGGTTTCGATTAGCCAGTAAAGTAATGTGCAGAAAAATAAGTACAGATTTTCGGGTAGCCAAATATGAATCACAGAAAAAATGCCAACCTTTTCTTATTAAAAACCAAGTAAGTCCTGATCTTGAGTTGTTAGTTACTTTGCTCTAGAGCAACTTCTAATACATTTCAGCCTTGCTAAGATATCTTTAATCCTTGACCTTCCTGTTTCTTGTGAGTCTATCCACTAGTTTTGCCATTTTCTCACTTGTAATTATATATTGGAAAAATAATGAATCTGATCTTGCTACCGTTTATGACTAGAATTATAGATCCAATTCTGGATTGGGATTATTTGATCATTGCTTAATAATCAAGCACATATGTGAACTATGCTATCTGCATGTGTGGGGAATATTTAAATATACACATGAATTATTAATCCTCTTGAGCTTCTTGTTTTATACCAGGTAAAGAAAGAGGTTTTTACTTCTTTGGCAAGCATTTAATCTGTCTATAGTCTTCCTAATAGGACTGAAGGACTCATTCATGTGGGCTTTGAAGAGGAGACTGACAGGCCTTTCTTTCTCTGCCTGCTGGCAAGTCCCAAATTCCTCTTTCTTGATCTGGTAATGGTTGAGTGCCGTCAAGGTGGTTCTGATTCATAAAGACCCTATATTGTCAAGGCTGTAAATCGTAAAGCCTCATCTTTCTCCCGTGGCGTGACTGAGATTCAAACTGCTGACCTTTCAGTTAGCAGCCCAATTTATAACCCATTAGTTACCAGGACTTTTATCTTGGGATAATAGTTGTTGTTGCTAAGTACCCTGGAGTTGATTCCGATCCTGCACCAGGTTTCCGAGGCTGTAAATCTTTACAGGAACAGAAAGCCTCATCTTTCTCCCGTGGAATGGCTGGTAGTTTCGAACTGCTGACCTTGAGGTTAGCAACCCGATTTGTAACCACTATGCTACCAGAGCTCCTTAGTATCCACCTTTATTTTCTATTGCTGCTGCCTGGAATTAGTCCTAGCCTAGAACTCACTGATTCCTGCTGTCATTTGGTCTGTTAGGCTTCTCAAACGGGGATCTGAAAGAGGATGTGTTAATTATTCTCCGTTAGTGAATCCAGACTATCCTCCTCCCTCCTGTTCTGCCCTATGCCCCAATATTTAATCCCTGTGGTCTGCATCATGATATACCTGGGTGGCACTTGGCTACCCAGAGGTTCCTTGGAAGAAAGTCTTGGTGATCTGCTTTGGAAAAATCAACCATTGGTAACCCAACGGAGCGCAGTTCTACTCAGACACACATGGCTTCACCATGAGTTGGAATTGACTAAATGGCAAATGTTTGTTTGTTTGTTTGCCTGAATCACAGGTGATCTCTAGCCAATATTCCCCCTTTCTTCACTCTAGCTGAGCCATGATTTTGGCAGTGGCAGTGAAGGGAAGATCAAGATTTTCTGAGGACTGAAATGTATGTATTTTGGTGGTGGGGTGGTGGTGATGGGATCTATTGAAATAATGTTTTAAAATTATTAACACAAAATTATGTATGAAGTGAGTGTTAGGTGTACTTTGGGAAGCTTTCCTACAAAAGAAAGGGAAATAAATTAATTATATGAGGGTGCTTGAGAAAGCTTGTGGAAAATGAAGTTAACAGGTAATGGGAGAAGCTCTCCCAGAAGTCCCGTGGATCTGTGTCTTGCTACAAGAGTATTTGGACGGAACAAATCTGGAACTTACCACCTCCAGCCTCAGGTCACACTCCAAC